GTATACACTTTGAAGTATTCCTCTTGATTCCACAACGATAATTCCTCAGATTTCCACGCGAAAAGTTCCTATCGCTTAATTGCAGTGAACAAAACAATCACTTAAACCGTTTTCCAACATCTCTTAAGCGCAGTATAGATATGAGTATACATACAAGACATCGTAATATAGGCAGATTAACGTAACACTATAAGTTAAACTCAGTTAGCTAATAGTAATAGCACCAAAGGTGGGCGAGTTAATGAAAATAATTAACCGGGTTAAGTTAAGTTAAATATACAAAACACCCGGTTTAACAAACAAAAATTTGAACTAGCTTATTTTAAAGTTAAAATGCAAAACGATGTTAATTGAACTCGGTTATTTTTTAAAATTACACAAAAATAATTTCGAAAAATAATCATTCGAAATCAACTTGTTAACTAAACTGAATGTTTAGATTTTTATGGAAGTTAATTGTAAAACGTTTGTGTATTAGAAATTTATAAATTAAAAAAAAATAAAAATAAAACCGTCAATGCCGTAAATTTTCCAATTTTTTCCAGTTATTTTTGCATGAACATATCACTTTCTTATACACTGATTAGACAAAATTTTCTTTCAAAAAAGACATTACTCTTGTTCTTATGTACACAGACATAAATGAAAAAATAAAAACAAAACCACATATCACAGTAAAAAAACATAAATACTACTTCCATGTATTAACGTACATTTTTTAAAACAATAAAATATAGTAATTACTAATAAACATACCCGTAAATATCAATACGTTTGTATATAGAGCATTACGTTAACAACTTAACAGTACAAATAAAACTATAATAATTTTATGTGACAGTAAATAATCGAATTGGTTAAAAAAAATAAAAACATTATTTTTTTTTTTTATCACTTTTGTATGATGCTGGTATCAATTTTTGGTATTTTATTGTTAAATAAAATCACTAAACGAAAAAATAACTACGGTTATTAATGTCCCATTTAGTGGTACAAATGATACACTCACTACTGATTTTAAATAATTATCATGAGAAAAGAAATCGATCGTGTTCCTTTTGACCCCGGTCTTCCCTTCTTATGAGTGGTTTTGTGTTTCATAATATCATCTCCATTGCAGTAATGGTTTTCAATCAAAAATAAGGACGGTTGCCATTAAAAATGTAAAATAAAGCAAGCATAATAATACGACTTAATAATAAAAACGCTGAGTTAGTACGTACGAAATATGTATTTATTTGTACAATAAAACCTCGTAAGTAAACCAAGTACTGCAATTGTAATAAGCGACTCGAGTCAAATGACTGTAGGAATAAAAGTAATGCAGCGCACTATAATGTGTACATTGTACCCGTTTTTTCAATGGTTGGTAGATATTTTACGTTTAATTTCTAAATGAAAGTACATTATGTTATCGTTATTCTTTTATTTGTGTTTAATCATATTCTAACAATGTTTAACAAAGTTAAACACGTAACGAAATGCATTCGTTTTTACGATTATTAAGAAAAGTTCAAGGGAGAAAAAATTACCTTCTCAATGTATCAATTAAACAAAATTTTCGATCAGAAACTACCACTGAAGTTAACGACTGGAGCAAGTTTTCCGGTCGAAAAATTTTAAGAAAACGTATTAATACAAATACAGAGGTACACATTTATAAGCACAACCACCGGTTAGCCGGCCTAAAACCCAAATACGGGAAGTTTTCTGATTTTTTTCTGGGATAGTAGACTATATTATGGCCAGTACGTGGGCCCGTATGTGCAATGATTATTGTTTTATTTGCAAGTTTTCATTTATGTTAATTTTGTGTAGCCGTGTTAGAACACGGTTAGTACGAGGGTGTTGAAGCATGTTTAATCTCCTTATATACGCTACTGTCTGTGACATTATTCAATACATCTAAGCGATTATAGCGATTTTCTTTTCCAAAAAAAAATTAAGTTTTAACGGTAATTCTCTGTAATCATTCCGATAACTTTCGCTATTATCGTACCCATAATCAACGAAGAAATTAAATTTGAATTTGTAACAAATATGAGTGCTATTACACTCTTGGCGATTGTGTATGATTTTAGATTTTTAAATTGTTTTGATTTCTGCAGGTTTTAATAATATATTGTGCTGTTCCCAGAAGTCCCTATGAGCCACCGTCGTCCATGTGTTGTATATACAGTACACGTTGTAATGTTTTATTCTAACGATCGGACAAACAATAAGTGTAATAATAAATTCCTAATCATCCACGTGTAAGAAAAAGAAACGATTTTGGGTAGTGTTTATTGAATTTACAGAGAGTTCGTACAGGTTATTGGCAGAGATCGGAAGAACCGAAAAGCGACATATCGAACTGTAGAATAATCAAAAAAAAAAGTCATACAGTTGATCTACTTATTAAAATTTCTTTTGAAAGAAAATATATAGGTGAATAATAAATATGCTACCCTTATATGGATATTTTTGATTAACATCGGTGCGCTGACACGATTTAAATATTATAAAAGATAAAGCCGAATAGTTCACCTTCAACCGTGTAAACAGGTATTGAATTAAAAAATACAAATATAATCCGCCTCGTATGCTTTTATTAGCCATTCCTTGTCAAATTAAATTTACGCGCTTTTTTTTTTTTTAGGGGGGGAGGATAAAATACGCAATTCTTCTTATATACTAACTAAAGAAAATAATAACATTTTGGTTCCGAGAAGCCAATGGAAAACCTTCGGGGGGAAAAAAAAGGTACGAAGGTAGTTGATATTACCTTTGGGCAATAACAGCCGTGTATGGCTTAAATATATTTCATTGTTATTTTGTTAATGTGCCAGATAAAGGAAGCCAGTTTTATATTATGTGCACTTAAGGGCAATTTTGATGCGGTCTAGGTTTTATACTATACTGATAAAAAATAAAACGTCATTGGTCCAAATGTTTATTAATGCTGTAATCAGTACTCGAGTTGGGGGGGACACGCAAAAGGTTTGCGTACCTCAACTAAATTTTCAGAAATTTAAGAGTAGGAACCTTTACTATTTATTTAAAGTGGAACGCATCGGACGTTATTTTTGCATTTTTATTAAAATTTTATCTCTAAAACTCATGTAAAAACATTACCACATTACGTACTACAAAGTTGTTTTCCTCCATTAAATATAATACATGGTGACTTAACCTAACCTTGAATTAAATTGTCGAGCATTTTCGCTGTGTCAAAATAGTATTATAATGATATGAAAAACCCAAATAAAAACCTAAAATACCCGAAAATGTATTGAAAATAGTACCGTATTTCAAATTAAGATTAACTATATAAGTTTTTGATGAAATTTTCGGCTTCTATAGTTATTTTTCGCTGAAATACAACAACAAAAAAAATTAAAATCGCATAGGAAACAGAGTTTTTCTCGCTTTTCTACATTATTAATACAGTAAATGGAAAATGAAATAATGATTTAATCATTGAACCAAATTGAGAACAAATATTTTGTGCCAGCAACCATCACCACTTAAGTTGATAATCAGAACAAAATGTTTGACAGAAAAGCTATGTGCAAACACACTTTAAAATACATTTATAAATCTATATGCTCATTTATCTATCAATCGGAACAAATTTAGCTGCAGTAGTGTTATTAAGGTTTTTTTCGTAAATTATTAATAGCTGAATTATGTTTAAAAATGTGTATAAGGGGACTATCTGGAGTTTAATAATTTCATAGGACGCTAATTTTTTTAAGTCTCATGGTCCCATTTCTTTTATTTTCCCAATTCGAACACTGCCTGCGATAGGCTGGGTTCGACAAAAGTTTTTCACAACCGTATATGGTTCTATATAGTATTTTACCAGTTTTATTATTATTTTTTGCCATTTTGGAAAAACAATATTTTGAATTTATAGTTTACTGGCTAGTATCATGATTTTCTATAGTGCATTTCTGGGTTACCGTGGCAACAATCGAAAACATATAACTAGTATAATTAAATACTCACTCTCAGAATCGCTTTTGTAAGTAATGGTTTATCGTCACATGCATAAATTAAACGATTCTATAAACCCTCCTTTTCGATTTGTCTCCTAAAATAATAGCACACCCATAACATGTATCAGCTGTTTTAATATAATATATATATATACATATTTTTTAAGCATAAAACAAAAGAGCTAATAGGAACTATACTGTTGTGTGTACTACTGTTGTAGTTAGGAATTTATGAAGGTCTTAATTTTTATCTGTAGGTAACGATAAATCATTGTTAATGAAAAATAATTCTGAACGAAGTTCGGTTAAACATGATTTGAAATGCAGAGACTTTTTATGATTTTTTTATAAAAATCTGAATTTAAAACAATCGTAAATAAATTTTTACATTTCACTCAAATTGTTATGCCTAGAAATTATTGATATACAGGGTGTACTTGGTGAAAATATCAGATCTTTGTGATTATTTCTACTCAAATTTCACCAAAAAAATTAAAATCAATAATGATAAAAACAGTTATTTTGCACATTTCTCACATTTTTCCTACGTTTTTTTCCCAATTATTCAGAAAATTACAAGAAATATCAACAAATTAAGTCATCAACACGATTGCCAACTAGTTATCGTTAGGAAAATAAAAAATTCTCATCATAGTAAAACCAATACATTTCTCACTTCATTTCACTCAGAATCTAAAAATGCAATTTTTATTTTATAAGAACCAAAAATTTCACATGAGCCTTTTTGAAGGTTTTGAAATGGTTTAAAAAGCCAGCATTGAGGTGCACGTGAATCTGTTAATCCGATTTTGGGTGTGAATTTACAGATCTGCGTGCGATATATAAGACTGTGGAATGGATACGCAGAAAAAAAACACTTATTACAATAATAAATTATTGCAGATTATTTTTACGAATTTTCGAAAACACTAGGGACTCAATATGGGATAAAATTACTCTAAAGTCTTATGAGAAAGTACAATATAACGATTGTAAATATTATGCTAGGCAGCTTTTAAAATTTGAAAAAATAAAATAATAAAATACTGCACAATAAGTTAATAACGGTTCTTCCACATAAAGCGTTTTATTATATTTGAGCACATTGTTAGTAAAGGGGAAGGTTTTCTTTTTTTTGCCGTAATCAAGATATGATGGTGTTTAAACATATATAACGAGTTTAGTAAAAAGAATCACCATATTAATTACCGTTCAAAAAACGTTTTTGCAACAAGCCATTATTTTAGAACTTAAATTGTTTAGGGGAAAATCTTGTAAAGCGACGCGAATACTAATTTAATTCTTTTAAAGCGTATTAACAATTTAAAACCTATTAATTTTAATACACAATTTAATACGCTACGAATACGTCATATTATTTTCGTGATAATATAAAATGAACCCGCGCCACCTGCGTCTAATATACTAAATTGTTTAATACTAATATTAATTAAAGACTAATAGTATTAAATACGAATAGCATTTATATAACTACTTATATATTACTATACAGCGGTTATAAGACCAATCCTTACGTATACGTTCACGACTGTGAAGCATGTACAACAACTCGTTAAACAGTAATGAAACTGAAGACGTTTGAAAACAAAATATGGAGAATAGTCAGTGGCCCCGTTTATGAAAGAAAAAAAAATAATCAAAGAAGATACGATAAGAAGCTGTATGCCATAGTAGACTTGGTGTCTGTAATCCGTTTCATTCAAGCAGTGCAAGCAGTGGTCTCAAACTCAACTCAAATTACCAACGGGCCATATATTTATACGTCAAAGCAGTGTCTTGCTAACCTTTTTTTTGTTTTTACTCGCTTTAATATTAAATCTGAAATAAACAAAATAAATTAAGGTAAAATGTACTTTTTTTTTACTGATTATATAATTGTAAAACAAAAAAAAATAATAATGTTGAAGGAATAAATATTTATTATGGGCCGCATTGAAATGGTTCGCGGGCTACTTGTTCGAGACCATTATATTAAAGTACAAAGACTATAATGGCTAGTTCATAATATAATGGTATGTTACGAGAAAACTATATTGTTAGAGCAGTTCCAGAATGGAAGTGACTTCACAGTATACCCGGGGTAAAGATGGATCCACGTGCTTGATGGTGATCTAAAAATATTTGGTAGTAGAATTCTGGAAACGCATGGTTCAAGATAGAAATAGATGGAGCGACGTTGTTTACTCACTTAAATACTTAGATAGTCGTAATTTGTAAAGACTCGAATAACGAGAAAAAGAAGAAACAGGAATTTTTAAATAGTTATTGAGGTGATAAATTGTAACATTTTTTTCACACAAATATTTTATAATAATATAGATTTTTAGATTTTAAATAGTACAGGTAGGTATATGAATTGTGTATATTAAGTGAATGAAATCAGAATATATATATCCCTTCCCCCTTGGTAACTCGAAGATTAAATAACATTTTATTATAATGATGTTTTTTTACGTCGCGAATACGAGAATCAGTCGTCGACGTGTCATAATAATGTGATTATTATTGCAGAAGAAATACAATCAGTTAAGTGTTGGTACCTACAGCGTTGTCGTTAGCTCGGGGCGTATACAAGCCGTTATACGATGTAAGTAGGTATACAGCGTAACGTTAAACCGAAATGATTGCAGAAATTCGATATTAAAAAAACCAAACCAGCAAAGTATTTAAGGAGCAGTGATAGATGACGTACGCAGTTTTATAGGCAAACAGTAATGGAGGTAACTGTTGCAAGTAATTCGCTTCATACCTTCGTCAATGTCAAATGGACGATAACGGCTACAATACGTTTGGGCATTTTAATTTAAATTGCGACTCGTTTGGACACAAAATTACAACACGTTTTGACACTATTTTATTCTGATATTACAACACGATTGGGCATTTTAGTTTAAAGGTACACCACATAGTATATACCTAGTTAATAAATATATGTATACTATAAATTATATTGGTTTTTATAAACGATTTTTAATGCACAATTTCATTATTCACGCGCAAACATACATCATGTAGTAGATGTTTTGATTAACATTCTGACAGAAACTGCATTAAACAAAATTAGTGTAAGCAAAAATCAATTCAATTATATTGAGAGTCTTTACACAACACTAAATATATAACTGATAAGTGGAATGCTCATGAAAAAAAGAGACATAAAAACCGAAAAACTACAATATAATTATTATAATTGTATACATGTGTTTACCGATACATATATTGTATATAATTCTTCTAACAAAGGTGTATACTTTTTTCATTTTAATACCCAAACGTCATGTGGATTTTGAATGCGGAACAGGTGAATGTGCGCAAACGCGCTGCACCGGACAATAACATCGGTTAACACATTATATCGACCTATAGAACTGAGCGGTGTGGGTTTGTACAAGCCGTTGTAATAATATTGCGGGACCGCGAGTATGCTATATTCGTTTTTAAAGCTAAATTCGCGTGTGGGTAAAATTAATTTCAAATAGCATCGAGCGTGTTCTGGATTTGTAATCCAATAAAAATGCGCGCACTGTAAGACGAGACGTATTCCGAGCTTGTTCGGCATCACAATTGGCTTTGTTTATGTTGTTACCTATGCGCGAAAATTAATTGTTCAGCATACTTCGCCAGAGAGAATCGAACACCAAATGGAAAATCGTATCAGACGCGTCACCGATCCGTACAACCGCGTGTATTTTATTTTATAAAACGCACGTGCGCAGCAATTTATGAAAGTTAGACTGTAATAATCCGATTTTTTTTTTATATTTTGAATGGAGTGTGTATTTGCTTTTATTATGAACTGTGCTATTATTTTGTCTTTTTGCATGCGAACGAATTTTTTCCACTCAAAAATTCCATAAAAGTAGCTTCTTGTATTATTTTGGATTCATTCGGTACGTTGAGGAGGCCGTTTATTCACATTTCTCTCGTACTTTTTAAAATCATACGGCTAATGTATTTTTTAAATTTTTGCCGTGATTCATTAAAAAATAATCGTAGAGACTTGATATTTTTATTCGATACTACAATATTCGTATTTTCTATAAACGCGTTATAATTTCTAAAATCAATTCTTTAATTATTTCGGCCGCAATCTAAACCTAACTTAACCGATTTTTGATACTAGAAGTGTTATTTTGTTTGCAGTGTTTTATCCGGTACATTCGGGATTTAAACTATTTTATTTTTCTTCCACATATTTGTAGGAAAACCTTCGAGTTTATAATTGTATACAATTCACGTACAATATACTTAATAATCTTAAAATGCGCTTTATTTTACTAGTAAACATTGCACTGTGTAAATATCTTGCTCTCTCTTTCTCTCTCTATGTCAGGATTTCCTATATATAATTGAATAGGAAATTGTCAAATCTTGCAGATACACTCTGTATAATTTACATGTACATTATGCATATTATATAGATATTGCGTTTTACAGGGATAATAATATATTCACAAGAGCTTCGCTTCATTATTACACGGGACGCACTACAGTATAGGTATATATTAACGTGACTGATGAGATTAAAATGCAACGCGAATGTTGAAAAGGCTCGAGAATGTGATAAAGTTTACAACACTTGTCGCGAACGCAAGTATTATGTGTGCTAAATAAAATATATCGATAATCCGTTCCGTCGTCGCCGCTATTAGTTTTAAACAGACGCGATTATCCCTTCTGCAGTATGTATACTGCAGAACTATTATGTGGAGGGATAATTTAAAAGTTTTATGACTGTTATTATTGTCGTACGAGAAATAAAATACGTGTTTCGTATTCATGTACGTGTGCGATGGAATTATTAATATTGGTTTAGACAACGGTGCATCCTTTTTTTTTTGTTCGTGCAATAAACACATTTTCTACTAGAAATCTCACTCGGATCGTCAACTATAACGGTGGTCTTTTTAGTAGCGAATAATAACTAAGATTGGTACGGTATTTCCCTTGTTGTTTTTTTTTATAATTGGGATAAAACGTCAAAAAAAAAAACCGAGAAAATATACAAAACGTCAATAACTGTTAATTTCGATTAATTGTTTTTTAAAGATAAAGTTAAACATAATCGTAGAAACCTGAAATTTTCTCCGAATATTAGCTTTTTCTAGACAGGGTAAATTCTGGAAAATTTCGAGCTATTAACAGTCATTTGAATTTTTCAAGTTTTTCCGCTCCGAAATTTAACGCATATTTTATCAAATGAGTGGCTAATAAACGGCAGTTTAAAAAATAGAATTGTTAAAATCGAGTGAATTTGTAGCGATTTTTTTTATAAGCGTTTCGATGAGCTCAAATATTTGTAGAACATACAGAAATAACGGTATTTTAAAATGAAATTTTCAGCTGAGAATCGATATATTTTGGTTTTTTTTGGCTATTGATGCGAACGGATTTTAGGAATAGTTCGTATACAATTGTCGCGAGGAGCCTTTCGCCTTGTCTTCGTTCCTCGCGTTCATCACAATAACCCGAATTCGGAAGTAAATGAACCATGTCCCACACATACACACGCATACATTGAACACATGACTTATGTGTGCGGTTATTTATTTTTCCTTTTGAAATTTTTACACGTAACTTCTTCACGCGCGCGCGCACACACACAGACGTAAATACGCGATTAGATTTTTCGCGTGATTCATCGAACAACGGTAAATAATACAAATCGTACAAAAGTCTGCTCGCCAATATTCAATATTGTACTTACACGTTATTATATTCAGAGTGCATAACTTTTATTTTCAGTATAAATGACTTTATTTCCGTACTTTTGAAAGTATATACTAGTTATGAATAAAAATGCAAAGAAAATATTCAAACAATGATCAATATGTCGCCCCGATTCACGGTACCCATATATTTCGGTTAAATCCGATTAAATTAATACTGTGTTTGAAGGCTTCGCAATACACTATATAGGTGACTCAAAACGATAATTATAAAAATTAATTATTTCAAAAATTTAGAGTAGGTAGTCAATGTATGCACCTTTAGTTTTGATTTGTATAAATGGTTCAAAAGTCAAATTATTAATAATTATGCGAATAGTCATTATATTAATAGTGTTCGTTATATTATTACACGTGTTTAAATCATTTCAGCATAATTTTATGCTTGGTGAAATTTACCATTAGAATAATACATAATAAAGCTTTTAAAAGAATTTAAGATAAATTGGACTACAATAAAATCGGCCAACTGTTAAAAAACGTATTTCG